GTCCTATAGGGTGTCCTTTCAAGAATGTTAATGCAAATCACACGTTAATCGTTTACACTTTAAGCTGATTTTTTCCCTCTCATTTGTGTTAGCATGCCTGCTCTTGTAGCGGTTGGAATGTATTGTTCTAGTTTTGTAGAAGCCCCCCTCAGGGTAAACAGTGTTACTTAATCTATCAATAAACAAAAGCATCTGCTTTATCAGCATAGGATAGCTTTGTTATAGGAGCTCCATGTGGAAATAAATCAATTCCATATGGATTCGGTATTTATTAGATTCCAATTGAATTATTCTTTGGGTCAAGTAAAATTATTTCCTGTTTGTTGTGTTTAAGATCAGAGCACTCCTGAGCCGTGCCCTTTTTCCTTTTGCATTATATATGTGGAGGACTGGCCATCATGTGAATTATTCAGTCTTAATTTAGGGAAGGTGATCATCCCCTTCCCATTTGTCTGATGCTTTTTGGTATCATTCTAATTTTACACCCCCAAGACTGACAGATTTCAATATTTGACTGGCAAATAAATATGGTTTGGTTCTTTGAATGCACATTTGTAGCACATTTTAAGATCAATTTATCTATAGTTCAAGCCAAAAAGGAAAATTCTGTCATCATTTACTCACACTCACGTCATTACAAACCATTTCTTCTGCAGAGCACAAATGATACTATAGGGAAGAATGTTGGTAACCAAACAGTTCTGACTTTCATTTTATGGACAAAAAAAAGAAAGCTCTTTCTCAAAACATTTTCTTTTATATTCCACAGAAAAAAGAAAGTCATACAATTTGGGAACAAGGTGTGAGTGAGTAAATGATGAACCATCCCTAACACTAGCTTTTAAAATGACAATTTCAATTTTACACCACATATATAGAGTGTTTCAACATTTGTCTCCCAAATCAAAAGGTCTTTAAACACACCCATGTTCTGGTTCATTTGACACAGTTTTCCAGAAATTCAACACATTTTGAAATCAAACTAGCTTTTAAATGGACCATTTTTTGAGCCCAAAACAACTGGTGCTTTTCCAGTTGACTAGAAATGGTTTTGTGATCTCTAATTATTGGTTGTTGAGGATAAAGACATAATCTGACCCTAATTGTTTTTTGTCAATTAGTCTTGTGCTTCACAATGGTCCATTCTCCCTTTGCATGTCTTCTCTCTGAATCTAGTATTAGTATTAAAATGGCTGCCTATGAAGAGGAAATGCCCTTGGCTAGTGAAATCCCCCCATACATCCTTACACCTACGTCACGTGGCTCATCAGAACCAGTCTGCATAAGGCACTTTATATTTAAATCGACCAGCTGTGTGTTACATCACCACTCTCTCTGAGAAAAGAGAGAAAGCGAGGAAGAGCATGCTTATGTCACCATGCGAGATGCAGCAGATGATCTGTGGGGGAGGGAGAGACTAAAATCATTTTCTCTCCGGGGGAGGGGCTCGCTCTTTTCCTCACAAGTCACGACATCTCTCTCTTTTAGCAGGAGGCATGTCTCTTTTCCATTACCTGCTTGCTTTGTCACGTGATTCTAGGGCTCTATCTTTCACTCGTTCAGCTGGATTATCCGCCTCCCTCGCTTTGCATCTCTTTCCCCCCTTTGCGCTGTCATTCCAACCCTTGTTTTCGCTCCATCACTCTAATGCAGTGTGTCAGTGTCTGCCGTTGTTTGGTGTGGAGAGGCTCAAATAATCTCACTCGTACAAATGCATACATACTGTCTCATTCAGTCCCAGCAGAATCCAGCCTATCATGAGTGCACATTTTATAAGACTTTGCAGAAACTAAAGACAATACCAAAGTTATGTAATTTCTTTACAGTGTGTGGTACAGAACCTTTATACTTGATCATGAAGTCTTGTGTGCTTCAGAGGGACAAATCTGCATTTTTGCGTTGTATATGTGATATGTTGATGTGAATCAGTGTGTGTGTGTGTGCTGGAGTAATGAGCGTGTTTTCTATGTGCTACAGTGTAAAGGAGAATGGTGAGGAAGCGTGTAAGGAGCTAATGGAGGCATTTGCTGCCTGTGTGAAGAGCAATGCTGAAGCGTCATGAGGAGCTCAACATGCAGGAAAAGTAATGCACATTCACTTGCTTCATTCCCCTTTACATGTCAGACCAGTATTTTATTTATGTCAGATCAACAGATGTATTATGTACTATTGTCTTTTCTAAATATGTGAATATGGCTGACTGATCAGTATTTCAAATTAGTTGGGAATGGTCTAATAATTTAGGATGCGCAGATCTAAAAAAAAAATAATTTCCATGTTATGGGTGAGAACCGATAATTGGCTTATAATTATATTCATTTTGAGATTAGCTGAATAAACTGTTTTCATGAAATTATTCGTTTTGTTAAAGATAAGTGAATGAGTCCTGTATCGTGGCAAAATTTAAACTAAATGTAATGGGGGAATTAAGTATGCAAGAATAAATGTCCAACATAGACTATAATGTTAAACTGAATTTAAAAAAATCTTTCACTGTAAAAAAATGAGTCAAGTTTACTTTGTTACTTCACTGCCTTAAAATTTATGTTAACTTGACAATTATTTTAGATCAAATTAATTTTAGAGTGTAGTCAGCCTTTAAAAAAAGTCAGTGTTACGTCATTACTAACTAATTCACTCCACAAATGTTTATGTTGTTGTCAAGTGAAACCATGTCAACTGGAAAATATATTTATTTAATATTCTTAATATTATCCGTTGATTGGCTGTTAATTTAACTGTTTAATCTTAAGCACATTCGATCTGCTCTGTTTTATGATTGTCTTCATGATTTTTCATTATCATTTGAAATTTATGATTCTCTGTATTTCTGTTTGTTTTTAGGGTTTCACTGCACTGAGTCCTCCACCTTCCCAGAATTCCCTGCAGCTCATGGCACTGGACTAAACGATGGGGTTTGGGGTTTGGCAGCAGAGACCATATTTGTGTCTCTTCCCTTCTCTACCCCCCTGTGAAGCTTAAATAGATTCCTCCAACCACCAACCTCTCCTCCCCTTTTGTGGCTGATTGTATTGATCTGATCTGTAGACAGTTTGAGATTTGATGTAAATTATGTGTCTCAGATGCTTTCAAAATGGAATAAAGATTTAAAAAATGGTTCGATATTTGTTACTGAATTTGTTTGACAATGTTTGTTTTCGTTTTTAGGTAAACTCCTTAAAAACAGCTTTCATTAACTTGCTTAGCAGATCCTGTCAATCCACACATAAGAGTCTGCTAAATGCACATGTAAATGTAAAAATACTGAAAACTACTTTGCAAAAACACAACTAGGCCCATCAAAGATGGATATTCCAGCAAGCCTTTGAGTGTTTTTGCTAAAAATGACAATGTAGATGGGACAGCTATAGTCCATAAATAATATAAATGATCTGAAAATATGCATTATAATATGTACCAGACGGCAACAGTTCAAAGAGGGAGCGTGCTGGATGTGAGGGGTCCAGAGTGATTTTGCCAGCCCTTTTGCTCACTCTGGATAAGTACAGGTCTTGGAGAGTGGGGTGGGGGGGGAAGAGATTACGGACTATCCTCTGTAGTCTTCTGAGGTCAGATTTGGTATTTGAGCTGAACCAGACAGTTATTGAAGTGCAGAAGACGGATTCAATGATGGCAGAGTAGAACGGTTTCAGAAGCTCTTGTGGCAGGTTGAATTTCCTCAGCTGGCAAAAAGGAAGTACAGCCTCTGCTGGGCCTTTTTAACAATGAACAATGGACTCAATGTGAATGTCCCACTTCAGATCCTGAGAGATTGTGGAGCCCAGGAACCTGAATGACTCCACTGTTGTTACAGTGCTGTTCATGATGGTTTTAGCAATAAAGCAGGCAAAAAGTGAATTTCTTTACATTTTAATTTATTTTCTGCTCTAGTGTGTCACTTAATCAAACTTTCTAATAAACCTGACTTTAAAAATTGATGGATCGCTGACGAATTCTGTTCCTGTAAGTCACTTTGGTTAGTTTAATAAAAAAATTTTTTTTTTAAAAACCACACTGTTTACACACAGTTTCTGAAACCTGACACCAAATCCATACACTAATTCTCAGCCTTTTAATCAGTTTCATAAAACTGAACATACATTTAATCAAATCTAACATGAATTACAGTTTTTTTGTTGTTGTTTTTTTTAAAAAAAAAAACTGCTTACATTTTCAAAACTGCCTCTTTCTTCAAAACTTTACACACAAATCCAAGAATTGCACACAAAAAATGCCTCACATCTCTTGCAAAATGAAGCACTGCATTCAAAATATCACAAACACAAATCGCAAAAGTAAACATTTGCAGCACCTTTGCCATAATAGTAATACCTGTTAGATTTACACAAAACACAGGGAACAGAAAACACAACGCAACCCAAACAATACTGCAGCCAAGACAGAGAGAGAGCATGGTATAAGTAGTGATGATGAGTAAATTGCCAACAGCTGATAATGATCAGAACAAAACGACAAAGCAAAGGACTATGGGAAACGGAGTTCAAAACATGTAACAGAAACAGGAAGAGCACCCTCAAGTGGCCAGTCCAGGCCAGGACCATACAATGGAAGGGGGCCAGGGGACAGAGATAGACCAGGGCATGAGCACAGAACCAGCAGGGTGAAAGGCCAAGGCAGGGCCGGCAGGATGAACCAGCAAGGCCCCAACCACACAGGAACCCTAGCAGATAGCCAGTATAGAGCCGGAGGAATGAGCCAGTGAGGCTCCTGCCAAACAGGAACCCAGGCGGGCAACCAGAGTAGAGCCGGAATCCTGCCAGGCAACACTGGTGGGACAGAAAATCCTCTCAGCGACTCAGGGAAAACTGTAAACAAGAGCAGAGAGAGAGTTTAGTACCAGCCTGGAACAGAAAACCCTCTCAGCGACTCAGGTAAACAAGAGGAGAGAGAGTTTAGTACCAGCCTCGATGGCTGCAACAGGACAGGCCGATTGATCAGCAACGGTCCCTGTGAGCTCCCAGACTGGAGTGAATTCCTTAATGAGCACTGAGAGCTCCCGGACTGGAACGGGCGCTGGAGTGGGCTCTGTGAGCTCCCGGACTGGTGCGGGCTCTACTGTCCTTCTCGCCCTCCGCCGCTTAGTGGGAGTCTGAAGGGTAGAGGTGGTGGGAAAATCCAACCTCCATTCCCTGCTGCCTCAGAGCCATCAGAGCTCAGTGTCGAGCCACTCGCTCCTTCCCTGTGGCAGGAGGGGTAATCCGAATGTCCATGACACCTGGATCTTGTACTGGCTGCAGTATTCTGTCACGGAATGCCAGGAGAAAACAAAATTATATCCAAGTGCAGTAAGTTTATTAAAATAACAAATAATCCAAAACAGAACAAAAACTAGGCAAAAGGTACATTCAAAACACAGGGAACAGAAAACACAACGTAACCCAAACAATACTGCAGCCAAGACAGACAGAGAGAGCATGGTATAAGTAGTGATGAAATGATGAGTAAATTGCCAACAGCTGATAATGAGCAGAACAAAACGACAAAGCAAAGGACTATGAGAAACGGAGTTCAAAACATGTAACTGGAAAACTAGTAACTACCCAAACTGTTGTAACATTTATTTTTTCACTAGATACAATTACTTTTTTTGTAGGTTGCAGATAATGACTAGTCAGCTACTTTAGTTCAATTAAACAAGTAACAACTTAAATACATGCAAGGTAGTGCCTAATCATTAAGTACTAAACTTGACTTGAATTTGCAACAAATTGCAGTTTGTTACCAGAAAGAATGAAAAGCAACTAATAAAGCAACTAATCAGTATCTAGTGTAAAATGTAAAATAATTCCTGTCACTATTAGATTGCTAGTAGCCTAATCAACAAATGTATTAGTCATGTAAACCTAGATACTAGTTAGTTTTAAGGTATAAAATGGCTTTCAACTGATCTGTTCTGAATGCAAAGGCCACTAAGATCTTGTTTGTCAGTACACTCTTAAAAATAAAGGTGCTTCAAAAGGTTCTTCAAGCGATGCCATAGAAGAATCATTTTTGGTTCCACAAAGAACCATTCAGTCAAAGGTTCTTTAAAGAACTATCTCTTTCTTACCTTTTTGTAATCTGAAGAACCTTCTTTCGCCACAAAGAACCTTTTGTGAAGCAGAAAGGTTCTTCAGATGTTAAAGGTTCTTTATGGAACCATTTAGACAAAAAGGTTCTTCTATGGCATCGTGAAGCACCTTTATTTTTAAGAGTGTACATTGTAAATAGGATATGAATGTTCACAAGAATGATATACTGTAGATCTACATACATTAAGAAGTAGACTGTTTTTGGCAAGTGAAAGAGGGTGTCCATTAACGATTTATGTGACTGTCTATATGAGCAGTATGTACTGGTGTTTTTATGTTAATTTTTGGAGTGTGCCTAAGTCAGTGGTGTTTTTGGTAGTGCTGCTTTTTTCAGGTGTAATGGTTTGTAAATGGGAATTGATTACTTAAAATTATGCTGTCTGAATATTCGCAGACCGATGTTATCATCTCGTCTGGATTTTAATGTTGTCCACTTTTAAAATGCTTCTATGAAGAATGACCATCTGTGTTCCTCTTGCAGGTCTGGTGAAGTTAGGAATTCATTGTATCACAGGACAGAAGGTGGCCATAAAGATAGTTAATAGAGAAAAGCTATCAGAGTCTGTTCTTATGAAAGTAAGTTTTGCATACAATGAATTTACAATGGAAATGTCTAAAAGTTCTAGTTTTTCTCAGTCACCTCCTGCTTACGCAGCATTTTCGTATTTACAGTAACTCTTCAATAACACAGCAGCTGCATAACGCCAACTGCTTTATTAACCACAGTATACGCTGCATCTGCCCTAATGTTCTGTGCTAAAGAAATGCAAGACTCTTCCTGCTAAGCCATTTTTGTCCGTGTCTACTGTTGATTGTCAGACTCTTGTTAATATATTGACTATTAGTTCACTTCTAATTGAAAGTGCTCATCTTTGCTTGGTTATTTCCTTCATCAAAGTTGTTCCTTTTCCCTATTCAGCTCTCATTCAATGTTCCTCGCTCTCCCCGTTTCTGCAGGTGGAGAGAGAGATAGCTATTCTTAAACTAATAGAGCACCCTCATGTCCTAAAACTGTATGATGTGTACGAGAATAACAAATATCTGTAAGTACTGCTCTGTTTCTCCACACATCTGAAGCATGTCTGGCCTTGTCTTGTCTTGTCTAGACTTATTACATCCTGCATTCTCTGGAGGTGTGCTTGCTTGTGTGTACCATTTCATGTGCATCTATCTCTGTGCATTTGTTTCATAAATGTCTTTCTCATTCTCTCAGGTATCTAGTGCTGGAACATGTGTCTGGTGGGGAGCTGTTTGACTATCTGGTAAAGAAAGGCAGATTGACCCCTAAAGAGGCTAGAAAGTTCTTCAGACAAATCATATCTGCTCTGGACTTCTGTCACAGTCACTCTATATGGTAGATGTCTCTTTTTACTTTTTTATTTAATGTGCTGCACACACATATTCTTTTACAGCCATATTTTCTCATAATATTTGTGCATAATCAGCATTCTGTAGATTTTGTGGATGTGAGTTGGGATGAAAACTTGCGGCCAAGTTATGAAGCCCAAGCTGACTTGTATTATTTCCATATATGGTCACTCTATATGTACACAGGAACTCTACCCTTCATAAATTTGGGGTCAGTAAGTTTTTTTTTATAGAAAATTAATACTTTTATTCAGTAAGGGTGCATTAAATTGATCAAAAGACATTTATAATGTTATACAATGTGTCTACTTCAAATAAATGCTGTTCTTTTGAACTTTCTGTTCATCAAAGAATCCTGAAAAATATATAATGGTTTACACAAAAGTATTAACTGTTAAGAAATGTTTCTTAAGCAGCAAATCAGCATATCAGAATGATTTCTGAAGGATCATGTGACACTGAAGACTGGAGTAATGATGCTGAAAATTCAGCTTTGCCATAGAATAGATTAAAATAGAAAACAATTTGATTTGTAATAATATTTCTCAATATTACTGTTTCTACTGTATTTTTGATCAAATAAATGCAGCCATGGTGAGCAGCATGTTAAGAGACTTCTTTCAAAAACATTTAACAAATCTTACCAACCCCAAACTGTTGAACGGTAGTGATGATAGATTTGAAAAAACAAAACAAAAACAAAAGTAAAGCATGTGTAAATGTGTTACAAAACTTGTGATTTATTCTTGTTACATGTTCTGCAGGGTATGCAACGCAAAAATAGGTTATTCTCACTCTGTAAAATAATTATGGTCTCCTATACTTATGGAAAAATATTACAATATACAAACATATATTACAATGCTTTTTCAGCCACAGAGATCTTAAGCCTGAAAACCTCCTGTTGGATGAGAAGAATAATATCAGGATTGCTGACTTTGGCATGGCCTCCCTACAGGTTGGGGACAGTCTGCTGGAGACCAGCTGTGGGTCAGTAGTTTGTGTTTGTGTGCTTTTACTACTGTATTAATGAAGATGAAGTATTAATGCTCTATATTATGTATCTGCAGATCACCCCATTATGCATGTCCCGAGGTCATCAGGGTAAGGACAAAGCTCTTAGAACAAAAGCACCATATGTTTTAACGTATAAGTCTCATAGATTCATATTGTACAAAACAGCCAGTGCTTATCTGTACTTAGTGTTTTTTTCTATTCACAGGGAGAGAAATATGATGGACGTCGGGCAGATGTGTGGAGCTGTGGGGTTATTCTCTTTGCTCTGTTGGTGGTAAGAAGCTTGCTGCATCTTATTTGTGTCATTTCCGACATTTTCCCCACTTTTAATACCTTCCTTGCATGCCTTATTAAAAATTAAATGGCTGGAAAGTACGTGTTTTATGTCTTAAATTTGCCATTGACTGTGGGCATATTGCAGACTTGATGCTCTCAGTTGCACTCAGAAATGTGTGTGAATTGTAACGTCTCACCTCACAGGGAGCGTTGCCCTTTGACCATGATAACCTGCGTCAGCTGTTGGAGAAGGTGAAGAGTGGAGTATTTCACATGCCTCACTTCATTCCTCCAGACTGCCAGGCTCTCCTCCGTGGCATGATTGAGGTCAACCCTGAGAAACGGCTCACGGTATGCAACACGCTCACAGTGCACCTCTTTTTAAATAGAAATTGCATGTACACTACCGTTCAAAGTGTTGGGGTTGTTAAGAGGCTGCATTTATTTGATCAGTAATACAGTGAAAACAGTTATATTGTGAAATAATATTACAATTTCAAATAATTGTTTTCTATTTGAATATATTTTATAATGTAATTTATTAAAATGTCATTACTCCAGTCTTCAGTGTCATATGATCTTTCAGAAATCATTCTTATATGTAGTGTTGTTTTTGGCGGCCTGTTTTAATTTTAGTTTTAGTCTAGTCTTTGTGTGAAGCTGTCATTTTAGTTTTTATTAGTTTTAGGCACGTTCATACTCTTTTTAGTCTAGTCAAGTTTTAGTCAACTAAAAGTCTGAGCATTTTAGTCTTATTTTAGTCAGAATTATCCATGACTATTTTCATCTATTTGTAGTCGACGAAAACTGATGACATTTAGTCTAGTTTTAGTCAATGAAAATTGTATTTTAGTCTCTTTTTAGAAATACAATTCTATTTAACTCAGTCAATATAATATAAGTACCAATGCAATTTTCATTGACTAAAACTAGACTAAAATGCTCAGACTTTTAGTCGACTAAAACTAGACTAAAATGCTCAGACTTTTAGTCGACTAAAACTTGACTAGACTAAAAAGAGTATGAACGTGACTAAAACTAATAAAAACTAAAATGACAGTTGCACACAAAGACTAGACTAAAACTAAAATTAAAACAGTAACAATAATTTTCGTTGACGAAAGCAACACTACTTATATGCTGATTTGGTGTTTAAAGAAACATTTCTTATTATGTTAAAAATAGTTACAGTTGTACTGCGTAATATTTTTGTGGAAACTGTGATACATTTTTTATTTAAAAGAACATAATTTAAAAGAAAATGTATACATCATAAATAAATTCATTATAAATATTTTTACTGTCACTTTTAATCAATTGAATCCATCCTTGCTGAATAAAAGTATTAACTTAGTGTATTGTCAAGGAATGTTTATGATACTTCTTGTTTTTTTCTTTTCTCAGTTGGAAGACATACAAAAGCACCCTTGGTATCAGTAAGTATCATGTGAGGTACCTTGAATAGTTAAAAAAATAAAATTGTTCACTGACTGTCATGCCATTTCAAACCTGTATGCTGTTATTTTTTACCATGGAACACAAAAGGAGAATTTGGCACTTTTTCATACATCAACAGTTTATAGTATGTCTGTCAAGCTCCAAAAAGCCATGTCAAGCTTGTTTTGTGCAACAATCAGACTGAATGTTGCTTTTAAAGGAAAATCCTGCCATCCTGTCTAGAGTTCAGCCAAATATCATCATCAACATCATCAAATGTCATGGGTTCTCAAATGTCTCATGATCAAACGTCATTAACATAATGGCTTGTGTCATATGTACGAGGAGAAATAACTTAAACTTGGGTCTGATCTTCACACAAAGATATCATATCCTACCTGAAGATCTGGAATATAGCCTATGCGTCATAAGAAACACTTTTATGGTCTTTTCTTTTTTTGGAACTTGACAGACATGGTCACTGTGCAGTGCAAAAATTCACCTTCCGTGTTACACAGAACTATTCCAATAAAAGTGGATTTTATTTTATGTTGTTGCATGTAATGCCCACAATGTGCACTCCACATTGACTTGCTTGTGTGTCTGTGTGTCTGTGTGTCTCAGAGGGGGCAGGAACGAGCCGTGTCCAGAGCAGCCACCCCCGAGGCGCGTGTGTGTGAAGAGGATTCTGTCTCTTACAGATCTGGACCCTGATGTTCTGGAGAGCATGCACTCCCTGGGCTGCTTCAGAGACCGTGTCAAGCTCACCAGAGACCTGCAGTGTGAAGAGTGAGTCTGAACTTCTGTCTGTGTGACATCTTAGCCTGTAATTCAGAAAAGAATAGTGCACAAACTCAAGATTTCAAGGATTTGTACTTCAAACAAGATACAGCTGACCATTAAAGGGTTAGTTCACTCAAAAATGAAAATTAGGCTGCGTTTTACTCACCCCCGAGGCATCCTAGGTGTATATGACTTTCTTCTTTCAGATGAATCCAGTCGGAGTTATATTAAAAATTGTCTTTGATCTTTCAAGCTGTTTCATGGCACTCAGCGGGAGTTGCATTGCTTCAGTCCAAAATAACTTAAATAAAAATCGCCCATCCATAAAAAAAAGTGTCTCACACGGCTCCGGGGGGTGAACAAAGGTCTTCTGTAGCGAATCGATGCGTTTTTGTAAGAAAAATATCCATATTCAAAACATAATAATCACTTTAATGTAGCTTGCGCCAACAGTTGTACACAGAAGCAGCTCCGGGAGGATGACGTATGAGTTCAGCGTTGCGCACCCGCCGGTGAGTCTCGTGAAAACCAACGTTTGTTAACAGGAGCAAAGGAAGCAAAGTTTCCTTACTTTAGCGAAGGAAAACCAGTCTCCTCTTGGCTTATATCGAAATCCTCTGAAATGCTTCTTTACAAATCCTCCTTTTGTACTTCTAATTCTTGACCATTTCCGCGTGCGTCACTTCTGAGTGACGCATGCACAAAGCCAACCTCATACGTCATCCGCCCGGAACTGCTTCTGTTTACAACAGTGAGCGCAAGCTAGATTCAAGTGATTATTACGTTTTGAATATGGATATTTTTCTTACAAAAATCAAAGACAATTTTTAATATAACTCCGACTGGATTCGTCTGAAAGAAGAAAGTCATGTACACCTAGGATACCTCGGGGGGTAAAACGCAGCCTAATTTTCATTTTTGGGTGAACTAACCCTTTAAGGGATAGTTCACTCAAAAAAAAGATTTTATTCATTCCACTCATGTATGACTTACTTTCTTCTGTGAAACCCAAAAGAAGATATTTTGAAGAAATGCTTCTGTCAATACAATGAAAGTCAGTTTGGTCTTCTGACTTGCATTTCTCCCTTCCCAGAGAAAACCAGGAGAAGTTGATCTACTATCTTCTGTTGGACAGAAAGGAGCGCTACCCTAGTTATGAAGATGAACATCTTCCACCCAGAAATGATATTGGTGAGTGAGCTTTTGCAGTTCAGGCCTGTGTGTGTTGCTGTCATGTTCAAAGCTAGTCACTGAACACCATGAGAATAGCTGGTAACCTAGAAAGCACACTGGTGCTTTAGGCCTGAAAGTAAGCCAGTTTTATTTAAGGGCTCTAAGGCAAACGTCAGTGATTTGTAAATGTAACATATTGAGGGCTTGTTCCCAAAATAAACAGATCAAGACCAGACCAGAAATAAAAAGAGACATCAAGGTGGAGAATCATCATCATTAGGAGGTTGACAGGGAAGTCGTAGCATGTGGTTTTTAGGGCAGCGTAGCGAGTGTGGTGCAGGTTGGATCAGAAAGGGACTTCCTAATCAGTGTTGGGCAGTAACATGTTACTTGGTAACGCGTTACTGTAATTTGACTACTTTTTTAGTAACGGAGTAATTTAACGCATTATATAATTTTCAAAATAGTAATTAGAGTATAGTTACAAGCCGAGGTCTCTATACGTTACTGCCGCGTTACATTGCTGACAGAATGCAGTGTTTTATAATCTGGAGATGTAGCACATGCATTGTCGAGTCAAGTGCCAGTGGATTAGAGACCTGCTCTCCAACGAGACACGACGCAACAGAGCGCCGCGCGGGACAAGACTTGATAGGCGAGTGCAGTGTTGCCAACTTAGCAATTTTGTTGCTAAATTTAGCAACTTTTCAGACTACCCTAGCAACGTTTTCTTCCAAAAGGCAGTGCTGAAATGTGCGTGCTCACGAATCCTCTCATTATAACACACGAATTGTAGACATGAAAGATTCATTATGAATATATTTATGTGTTATAACAGAGATTTGTGAGATTGCGATGAACTGAGATGTCTTTTAGAGATTATAAATGCAGCGCTCTTTCCTGGCATTCTGCTATGCCAAACCAATTGCTTTAGTTAAAAATAACAGTGTTCTGTGAATGTTGATGCTTTAATAACAAATATATATCGGGAGCGTGTATGCTGGGATTTCATAAATTTAATGAAGAAAAAAGTAACGTAACTAGTAATGTAACTAATTACTAATTACTTTTGAAATAAAGTAATCAGAACAGTAACGTGATTACTTTTAAAAGGAGTAATCAGTAATCAGTCATTTGATTACATTTTCAGAGTAATTTGCCCAACACTGTTCCTAATGTATACAGAACAAATTGACAAATTTGACAGATTTTTGACATTTTCTATTTACTTGCATACATTTTGTTTATTAAGAGGCTTATTATATGTATGGTATGTCTCTCCCTGATAGGGCTACACAGTTAATTGAAATAAAAATGGAAATAATCTAAATAAATTCACTTTTAAAAAAAAATCAAAAGGTCGCTTATAATGTGCACTGAGAGCAGCAACACTTTTTTACATTCATGTAAATGTAAACATTACAAGCATTTTTCCATGAAAATAAAAGCTTGAGGAAAGTAAAGAAATTAGGATGGAAATATATTACCAAAGAAATACATTGAAATAATTACTATTGTTTTTAAAAATATACTAGTAACAAATAATAATATAAATAATAATAATTATTATTATTATCATTATTATTCACATTGATCAGATCCAAAAAACAACAGTGTGAATGTAAAGTGGACTGAGACAGTATCAACTGAAGTTGACTAAAGAGATTTGAGTTCCCTTTAAGTTTCAGGTACAACGTGAAAATGAAGAGAATTGATTTTTTATAGTTTTTTTCCCACTCAGTCAGTACACTTTTTTGTCACTGAAATAGTTATTTTGCTGGCTCTTTAGATGAGTTTGGGACAATTTGGAGAAAAGCTTATAATTTTGTAGTTTTTGCACACTTTATTTCAATGTAATTTTGTAGTCCCTTTTGCTTCAAAATCTAAGCTGCAACAAACTGTAAGATGTTAAATGTTTATTGTACAGTGCACATCTGCACAGTGCACATCTGACAGAATCTTGCCAAAAATTTAGAAAATAATTGCAATAAGATTTTTTTGACTAAAATGTGCAACCCTAATATGTTAGTCCATCATTTCACTGTCATGCCATGATTCGTCTCTCATATAGCACATGTTGTATCCTGGTACAATTTACCCTGTTGCTTAGAAGCTTTCTGTCTCTATATATATATATATATAAAACAAACCTTAGATTCCATCATGGATATAGTAAGGTTTGTAATGTGACTTGTTCATGAAGAGCACACAATAGATGTTTGTGTTACAGTGGATGTGTGTGTGTTGTTGTGGTTGTGCGATCAGATCCTCCCCGTAAGCGGGTGGACTCGCCCATGTTGACCCGTCATGGGCGCTGTCGGCCGGAGAGAAAGAGTCTGGAGGTACTGAGTGTGACAGAGCAGGGCTCTCCAACACCTCCCCGCAGAGCACTGGATACCTCTGCACATAGTCAGAGGTACATGCCAACTGTTTGATAACTTTGTATTAACCTTCATCTGAAAGTCAAGCTTGATGTACCACACATGTCCTCTGTTCAACCTCAAGTGCCTTTCAAAAAATGCAGAAAAAAAGTGGGCAAAAATTCACAGATGACTTGCACGACTTTGGTGTGATAGGCCTATTTTAGCACAAAAATGTTTTTACCATTAAATATTGCACATGCGCTCTTGTGCATTTATTTATTTTTTCTATGTAAGCTAGACTCATTATAGATGCAAGTTATTCACAAAAAAGCTGTTTGCCTCTCATAATTTAATTGAAAAGAAATGTTTGTATGCATGTTCTATTGATCATTAATCATGGCAGCAGTGAAAAGGAATTTTACATGGTACACAGGAGGTTTTTATTATGGTACAAACAGGAAGCACTTGTACTAGCAAGTGAAAACATTCTTTATCTCATTACTGTATTAATATTGTATTTTTTGCTGTATCTAAGTGAAAGCTAATAAAACAAAATTAAAGAAATTGAAATCAAATGTATGTGTTACGTTTAGGCATCATAGAGCACAGGAAAATCAGCAACAACGAGTATTATCTAATTTTCTTTCATGTTGTTTTTTGACCACGTAAAAGCTAAATGACGGTTGTGATTAAGCTAAAGTTTGATTGGTCAATGACACCAAAAAAACTTCTTCTACAGTGTGCGCTGCAAGCTAGTAAGACAAAGCACCTGGACTCTTGTGAATGCCAGCCATTGCTGGCCCCGTTTCTTATATTCAAAATGAACTTGCAGTTGCTGCATACCATGTAAAATATTCCTAATTCATCAAACAATGACCAAAAATATATTCAGAACCACAGAGCAGAGCATGCAGATGAACAGCACTATAAGTTGGTGCAATTCATTCCTAGTGAATTCCCTACTAAGCTTTTACTCACACTAGAGGTGTGCATATCTAAGATAATGAACATATCATGAACATAAAGGGATGTTTGACTGATATGTCCTGTTGTTCTGACAGGTCTCGGTCAGTTAGTGGAGCTTCAACCGGCCTCTCATCCAGTCCCCTCAGCAGCCCTCGAGTAAGTGACTCCACACCTTTAACTGATATTGGATTAGAAGTAAAATACTACTATGTAGAGCTCATTTTACAATGGTGAAAGGTTTTGTGCTTGTTTTTGATATTGTGCTATGAATAGCAAAGCTGAACTGGATTCAGTTGCTCTTTTTATGTTCATCTATCTCATACTGTCCTCATACTGTAGTCATTATCCACACCAAACACACACACACACACACACACACACACAAATGTTAAGCTTATTTTAACTTGCATTTTGCATCTTAATTAATGACCTAACAATCGTTTACTAATTGATACTGGATTTCACATGCTTTTCGAAAGAGCTTTGCATCATTTTCCTAACTCTTCTCAGTTTAATTCTAATGTTAATTAATCATATACCATATCTTTCATTAACGCTCATGACCATTGCTGTGTCCATCTCTCCATTCCTCTTTCCCTCTCCATCCTGCTGTCCTTTCTCTTCCTACCTGTCAGAGCCCAGTTTTCACTTTCAGCCAAACTGAAGTCACCTCTGCTTCCGCCACCCAGTCCAAAGACCCCAAAGCAGGAAGTTCCACCACAGCCCGGGCGTCCCAACGCGCGCCTGACCAAAAAACCCAGACCCTACCCTCAAAAGCAGCCTCTGACCGCCCCCACCTGCAGTCTATAAAGTCCCTCCCCCTGCAGACTCCTCCGTCTCCTTCGCCCTCCCCCTCTCCACTTCTGTCCCCCATCCCTCGCTTCTTCTTCCCTGCTCCTTCTGTCCTGAAGTCTGTCGCTAAGACCATCAATCCTAACTCTGCCCATGTGTCGCAGGTCACCCCACAGGGCTCCCCACTCCCCACCCCTCTGGGGACTCCTGTGCACCATCCCCAGCACCCCCCTCCCACCCCGCCCTCCTCCTCCTCTTCTTCCTCCTCCTCACGAGCTGAAGGAGGTGGCGGTGGTGTGGGCGGTGGCTCCATGTCCCTAACCCCGCCCTCCAGTCCTGGGGGAAGTGGTGGAATGGCTGCCAGTAGTTCAGCCCACTGGAGGACTCGCCTCAACTCCTTCAAGAACAACCTGCTGGGTTCGCCACGCTTCCACCGCCGAAGGCTACAGGGTGAGCGGAGCATCGCCTTAGTATTGCTGTCATTGAGTTAAATGTCATTGTAACATTTTTTCAATTTGTTTCAATAGTTCCTACGTCAGAAGATATGTCCAGTTTAACTCCAGAGTCCAGCCCAGAGTAAGTATTTAGAGGAATAAATCAGTATTAAAAAACATTAGTATTTTCACCAACAAAAAATGGGTTTAAACCAGTTATATCTATATTTTGCTGTAGTGTGTAAGAAGGGAATATCAGTTTACATTTACAAACATTGCAAATATTCCAAATATTGCCATTAATTGTAATAATCCAGTGAGATTTTTGGTCCCACTTTATATTAAGTGGCCTTAACTACTATGTACTTACATCAAAAAATAAGTACAATGTACTTATTGTGTTCATATTGTATTGCAAAACACTTTTGCTGCTATTGAGGTGGGAAACGGGTAAGGTTAGGAACAGGTTTGGTGGTATGGGTAGGTTTTAAGGTGGGTTAAGGTGTCAGGGATGGGACAACAGTGTAATTATAAATGTAAATCTAATTTTGTTAAAAAATAAAATAAAAATCGTGAATCGAATGTTGAGTGAATCGTTACATCCCTAATAGTAGTTAAGGCCACTTAATATAAAGTGGGACCAGATTTTTGTTTGCACAAGGAGTCAGTGCTGCACACAGAGATCTGATCTGATCATCATCAGTCTGTCTGGAATGACTTGAAGAAACAGAACAAACTGAGACAGACTCAATCCAGAAGAACTGTGGCAACGTCTCCAAGATGCTTCAAGAAACCTACCTGCAAAACTACAGCACTGTTAAAAGTTTTAGGCACTTGTGCAAAAATGCTGTAAAATGACAGGATGCTGTCAAAAATAATGTCATAAATAGAGTGTATCATTTAACTTCTATTAACTAAAACAAATCAATATTTGGTGTGACCATCCTTTGTGTTTAAAACCGCTTTTCAGTTTCACAGATGCCACAGTTCTTCTAGATTAAGTCTGTCTCAGTTTTTTCAGATTTTTCATGATATTCCAGACAAACTGGATGGCGATGAGATCAGATATGTTGTCAGACTCCTTGTGCAAACAACAATCTCACTGGATTATTACAAGTAATGGCAAAAGGAATGGAAACTGTTATTTCCTTCTGACACTACAGCAAAAATATAAATAATTGGCTTAAAACCACGTGACTGTGATAATATTAGCATTTTACTTTTAAGTTTACTATAAAATATTTGTATTTCTATTTAATATTCTCTTTTTAAAATATAATAGCATTATCACACTTTATTTTATTTTAAAATAAAAAAAAAGTGCAATTATATTATAATTATTATATAATATATATTATATTATAATATATTATTATCACTATTATTAATTATTTTGTTTTAAATAGTTATATTTAATGGGTCACACTATGTGCACTGTGAGGACCAAACCACATGTCCCGGTGCTCTTTAAGAGAACCAGGTTGAAAAACGTATGTGCACCCCTGATTATTTATGTACATTAGTTTTTACTCTATCATTGCAAGTTTCAGCTTAGTAGTATATTTTTTAAAATTTAAGTTTTCATATTTTAGGGCAGCCAAAGTTTATTTTTATTATGGTAACTGGTATAATTAAAAATGAAAAAACATTGTTGAACTTTATCGTTAAATAAACATCCAGTGGCATTTTCATGCATAATGCAGGAAAAATGTGAAGGTTTTGCATTTTATAATATACCATGTATCAAAATCTAAAGCTAAAATTAATTTGTTGCCATTTCTAGTTTGGTTTTATAGATCTTTCACCTTATTTGAATTTGTATTAGTGAAATGTGAAGGTTTCACATTTTAATATACCATGTATCAAAATCTGAACTTAAAATTAATTTCTATTTTAGATTTTAGTGTACTTTTATTTTTATTTCAATTAACAAAAATGTTTTCATTCCCCACCCTCATGTTTTCTGTTTTTCTTCTCCCAGATGAAAAAAATGGGCTTTCGTCTCGCCCACCCAGCACACCGACCCGGCAGAACTCTCGTCGCTCGGAGGGCGGAAGTGATCGCGGTGAGCGAGCAGAGCGCAGCGATCGAGGAGAAGGGAGCAGTATTGGCGGTAGTGTGAGTGTACTACAAAGAAAGGGGTCTGGCAAGGATAAAACTCGCCTCCTGTCCTCAAATGGGACCCAGTCTCAACCCTAAGTGAACTAATCAGACAAGCTGTCGAGCGGGAGGGAACAATCCCCGCTCTTGATTCCCCCCAGACATGACTCCCTCATAGTCCATCTGCACAGTACACAACAACAGATATACTCAGCCTTGATTTTCACATCACTAGCGGAAACCCTGGGATCCAACTGCGACAATAGGAGAGTCAGGAGTCTATCCACCTGGAAGTGTTCTTACATGCAAATAATCATCTGACGAAAAAAAATACGATCACTTATCCTTGTTAGGAACCAAGGATTTGAAAAATGGAAGCAAGATGTATCGCTTAATATAAACCCCAGCTATAAATTATTTCATACTCTACAAACAAGGAGATTGACATTCGGTGGACATCCTGTGATCTAATGGCAACAAACTATTCAAGGAGGAACAAACACCAAGTGGGACAGGAAAGAATGTCTCCAAAACTTATCATCCTCATTATCATCATCATCCTCATTATCATAAGCAATGATCCATCAGAAAATCACAATGAGCTGTTTGAGGTAGAGAAAAGCAAACATCATGGGAAAAAGTGGGAAGTTCTCTATTCTTAACACCACTTGGAGCACAAAAAAGGATTTCTAGAACACTATGTAAAGAAAAGAATAGGGATTTTTAGAACGGCGATCAAAATTTTGTAACACAAGGTCTATGTGACTATACCTTCATGAGCTGAGGACGGATTAGACCTTTAGTGAGATATTAACGTGTTGAAGATATAGGCTATGTTAAACACTGATTGTTCAAGCTTGTGTTGTAGATCCTGAACTCTGTGATATGTTGTAGATCCAAAATCAGTCAGATATACAGTGGAGAGCTGCCCACTGCAAGCTACAGTTGGCAAAATTGGCCAGTTTTAAGTCTTCGCAGTTTTGAAAGTATCTCAGATCCACCCCACTCACTAAGCAGGGCACAGAGGGATGAGCAGGCATCTAGATTTCCTATGACATGTTCACACAGAGACCGAGCAAGAGGAACAAAATAGCCAGTCACTCCCTTGTGCCATACAAAGACATAGCATGAGAAAAAAATGCAAAAGCCTCCACCATTTTCTCATGTGATTCCTGGTAGAACTTCCATCATAAGTAGAAGTCCACAAAAGTATTTTTTGCTTTCCATTTCAATATTTATATTATATTTTTGAGCTGAGATGTGAAATATTTCCATCAACAAAATGAAGTGAATGTCAAAAATACTAAAATATTTTACATTTTAATTGATTTATTTAAAGATATTTATTTAAGTGAATATTTATTTATTTATTGGATTAGTGTTGAGGCTGGTAAAGTCAAAATGACAAGGATGGAAAAATTAGCAATTTAGAAAATGGCAGAAAACTTCCTATTTGTATCTGTTACCAAAAATTTTATAACAATGCTGCAAATGTCCTTTTAAAAACCATTTGAGTAGCCTACTTTTACCCATCTCATTTTCATTTCATTTTCAATAAAAAAGAAGCAAACTTGCAAAGGAGAAAGCTGGAGAACAACTTTGAAAAATCATCCAAGCAATGACTCCATGCCTTGGACATCTCCCACGGGGAAGAGACTTCAAAACCCTCCAGGATGTATGACGTAAAGACTGAAGTGAACCTTATGGAAGCAGAGGAACAAAACAGAGGGAATGAGAAGAAGGCCCGCTGTGTTCACTCTTCATCTTTGAGAATGTTACCCAGACAATAGCCCAAAGTTTCGGACTCGTGCGTACCAGGCCAGCCCTTTGTACGAAATGCGAGCAGTATTCTTTTTTCACACATGCACACACATACGCACAGACACAAGAAGACTCCTTCTCAAAACTGACAATATGAAACAAAATGAATGATAACTGGACTTTAAAACTGGAATGCACTGTCCTAAAAAGAGAATTGTATTCAAACAAATAGTTGTCCCTTTCCTTGCCCACCCACGGGAATCAGTGAAGTGCTCGCTTAAGTGCAGACTCAGGATCAGTGGGGCTTTTTAGCTCATTACATTTGTGAATGGGGGGAACCTGATCCTGAATATCCACTTAAAAGCTTTCTCAAATGAGCCTCTGCCCTGAAGCCCAGAATCTGACCATAATGCTCCTCTCTCTCTCTCTCTCTCTCTCTCTCTCTCTCTCTCTCTCTCTCTCTCTCTCTCTCTCTCTCTCCATCCCTCTCTCCGGTCCACTCTTTTCCTGATGCAAGGAGCACTAAATGCAAAGCAAGGTTTTGCTCTGGTCCTCCCTCTGCCACCATCCCGCAGCCATCACACACACTCCTGGCCAAAAATAGCATAGCGGAAGACAAAGCTTCGGACGGTTCAGACATCGAGCAGCTCCTGTATCATCCTGAATTGATTTTCCATAGCACATTGAATATATTTTACTACTGTTGAATGTTTAGGTGCATCGTTCGTTAGATATAATATGGGGTACGTTCTTATTTTAGTACACTCCAAATGCCTTAAAGCCACATATACAAAACAGTCAGCATGTGCCCTCTCAAACATGCCCGGTCACTTGCAGAGGCAGAGGAAGCGCCAGAGCAAAACCCTGAAGATGCTCTTTGTTCAATTCTGTTAGTTCTCAGGCAGGGTGAGTCTGAGAGTGTGCAAAAACAGACTGTTTGGACACCAGCTCTGAGTGAATGTGAAATACACTCCACATACTTTCTCTGTGTTCATGACACTCTCCTGCTCTACGTGTCCGTCCTCTCCTCCTCCTCCCTTTCACATTATGCACTGAATGATATTCTGTTTTTGTTACTCGCCTCACACATACAGCACATGTATCACATTTCATATGTATCGTTAGTCTTCACTTATTTACCATACATTATATACCTCGTCCTGCTCCTGCCTCCCAATCATAGAATTTATACTTTAGACCACCCCCTTCCCTCTTCTCTCATTATATACATACGCCCTGCCTGCCCCCAATGTATGCTCACCCCTCCCCCCATATCTGTTC